GTCAACAATAAATACAAAATACAATCATGTTTTTTTTTTTTTTTTTTAGTCTTGTTTCAGGATGTAAACACTCATTTATAGAAAGAGAAAACATCAGCTGATTTCTCCTAAAATCCAACTTTTATGACTCAGTTTTGGAGAGAAATTCGTTTTTTTTTTTTTTTTTTTCAGTGTAGTTAATAAAAGTTTCAGGGCTGCAACTAATCATTATTTTCAATATTTCAAATACCCCAAAAAAATTTAGTTTGCAATTATATGTGACAACGAAAAGCAGGAAACCCTCTGGTTTGAGAGGCTGAAATCAGAATATGTGCCACTGTTTCACTGTATTTGCCTGAAAAATGACTGAATCCCAAAGAGTTTCTAAATATTTTTCTGTTAGTTAACAAATTGATTGATCAACTAATCATTTCAAGGTTTCGCAGAAGGGACCTTCGGCACTTTCTGTGACACAACCTGTTAAATCAAGGGTTAATTTCTAAGTAATTGAAGGGAATGAAATCAGTATTTTAGTGTCATAAAATCAAAGACAAAATTACAACAAACAGAACAATGAAGATGTGAAAGAGCAAATCAAAACCTGACTTTTCTTCAATGCAGCTCCGTGTGTGTGTGTGTGTGTGTGTGTGTGTGTGTGTGTGTGTGGTTTTTAGCCTCTCAACAGGCGCATGAATGAAACTCCCACACAAACACTCGGACAACCTTGACCCACTCGGCGCCGCTTCCTGTTGTTTCTTGAGCAAGGTGACAGCAGCGTGAGTGGGCGGAGGGAAAACAGGAGCCCGGCTGTTTACCTTCATATTTCCCATCAGCCGGTTTTAGCGGCTAATTGCACACGTGTGGCGAAAGAGCTGAAGAGTTTTATTGGAGCTGAAAAGCTTTTAGTGGGAGATAACGGCTGTTTTATCTGTTTGTGCTCTTCACGCTGCTGCCGGTCCAGATGTTTCATAAACCGCTGTGAAGAAAACATGGAAAACACCATGAGCTGCTGTTTGTCAGTCGATATCGAAAGAAACGACACCTGAGGTTTCAAATAAGGTGTATGTCAAGGATGCAACTAATCATTGATTAATCTGCTTATTATTTTCTCAATTAATCGTTTTGTCTATAAAATATGAGAAAAAAGTGAAACATGCCTGTGTTCAAATCCCTCATTTTATTCAACCAACAGTTAAAACCCAAAGATTTTCAGTTTAATATCAAATCACATCAACAAAAGCATCAAATTCTCACATTTGAGGAACTACAACCAGCGAATCTTTAAAAACGATTTATCAATTATCAAAATTAACAACATGACAAGACTAAAGCTAAAAAATAGGTGGCAATATTAACACTGCGAGGATTAGTCTCATATAGCATCACCTATATCTCAGAGCGACCTTTAGCATCCTGCTATAGGGGAAAAACGCTGCGGCTTGTTTGAATTTCTTAAAAACACACAAGATCCAAATCTTCATCAAAACTTTTCCATTTTCAGCGTCTAGGCTGCAGCTCGTTGTTATTGTTGTTTCCCATAGTGAAGGGGATTTTAACAACACCAACAGACAGGGGAAGCAGGAAGGAATGCCCCCTTAACACTAGCATTGTCATTGTTAGCATGTTGTGCTAATATGAGCATGCTCCTGTCTGCCTGCAGTGATTACAGCCTCACAGAGCTGGACCCATTAAGCCCCATTCATTCAGATGGGATTAACATCACAGGGGGAGCTGGGAATTAAATCTTCACCGGGCACCTTTTGTAATTAAACTCATTGTTCTGGACGTTTAAACCCTCGTGAAATGAGATCTGGTCTGTGATGGACGTGGACGTTCAGCACGACGGAGACAGAAGAGGAGACGACGAAGAATCTTCTTCTCAAGAGTCATAACTCAGTCAAATCTTCACACACGGACATGAAACACACATTTATTCATTCAGTGTGACTTACTCTTCCTGCAGATGTCTTTATGTCTGATGTCCACTGAGAATAAAACTCCATAAATCCACTTATCAATCACTGAAGAAAGACGCTTCAGAACTCGCCTTAGAAAAGTCACGTTTTTAAGTTTTCCTCAGTATCACAGTGACACAGTGATGGTTATCAGTACATCCATGCACTGCACCGTGCACTGCAAACTGGAACTGCTAACCTAATTTGGCTACTTTTAATGGTGCCAATTAAAAGCATATTTGATGAGCTTCTTTAATTTTTTTTCTCTCATCACATTGCTCCCGGATGTTGGCGTTAGTACGTTTTCAGGTTTGCAGAAACAAAGTAGAAACACAGGATTTAAAACTACAGGAGGAGCAGCCACTTCACTGACGAACAACAGGTGATTAATGGCTGCAATTATTAATCATGATTAATGATACAGCCCAGGTAAATGCTTTCATTTCTCCAGACAGTCAGAACGGGAGCCATTTTATTTTGAGGTTGTCTGTACGTCCCATTCTCGTGGACATGATATCTCAGTAACGCCTTGATGGAGCTTCTTCAAATTTGGCACAAACATTCACAAACAGTGTGACAAAACACTTTTCAGCCATTACTCATGACTTCACAGTAATTATGACAGAGATGTAACCTGGAACTGGTCTGAGTGGAGGAAGGATACGACCACAAGTAGGTGATTCTAGTTCCCTTCTTTATTTTTTGATACATACATGCATATAAACTTCCTGCAGATATGTGTGTGTGTGTGTGTGTGTGGGCGGAGGCATGTGGGGCGGGTGTTGTTTAGTGTGTTGCCCCCCCCCTCCCTTTGAACCAGGATTACTGGGCTCCATGAACACTTAGTCTCTCTGATAATGGCATGAGTGCAGCACAGAACAGATTAAGAGGTAGTGGATAAAAAAAGACAACAACCGGAGGATGCGACACCCCCCCCACCCCCTCCTCTGCTCCAGCTCTTGCAGGAGGGTTCAAAGGTCATGGCGGGGGCCTGGAGGTTTTGGCCTCAGCGCCCCTGACGACCAGAACGAGGCTGTGGAGCCGTCAGAAATCTGGTTTCAGTTTAGTGAGGGCGTCAGTGACGAGTGAGAGAATGTAAAAAGGGATTGTGTGTGTGTGTGTGTGTGTGTGTGTGTGTGTGTGTGTGTGTGTGTGTGTGTGTGGGGGGTTAAGCCTGGTTAATGGAGGATTAACCATTAAGAGGGGATCAGTGTGTATTAAACACACACTCTTGTCCATTAACTGAACTCTTAGTGTGTTTCTCTGCTCACCTCAGAGAAGGCGGCAGCTGATTGGACGCAGCCCAAATGTTCTGACTCCTGGTTCAGGTCTCACTCGGTCCTCATGGAGGATTTCTCTCTCCGCCTCTGGTTTAGTCCCGGTTTGAAAGCTGCTGCAGGATGAGAAGATACAGGTTTACTTGTCGCAGTGTTTTTATCTAAATTATTATCTTCTCCAATAAGTTGCAAAGTCAGAACAACAACAACAAAAAGTTGATGATAAAAATAACGATGATTCAGATCAGATGAGAAGTCACATTCAGCACAGAGTGGTAAAAACAGCCGGCAGCAGACCACTACAGTTGTGACTTAATATTTATTTATTTATTGTTTTTTTGTGTTAATCAGTTTCTTGTTTAGTTCATGAATGATCAGAAGATTTAAAATTCTCTTCACAGGTTCAGAACGACAAACTGATCGTTCTGAGCAACAGTCTGAAACCCAAATTTTAACGTTGTGATTATCTGCAACCTCTCATGTTTGAGGGGAAACTAGCACATGTTCAAGACCACAGAGACGCAAAGCAACTACAAGGAGACATAAAACAACCACAAAGAGACACAACACGATCACAGGGAGACGAGGCCTTTTCCATGTCAGTGTCCTGGGGTCCATTTTCTCATCATCTGTCAGTTTGATGGTCGTCAGACGAGCCGGTCCCGAGCTGGTGAGAGAACTGGTCCAGCACAGAAACGACAGAGTGACTGCTCCTTCTTTTCTCTCTTGGATCTTTGGACCAGACGTCCGGGTCCAGTGTTTCCGTCTGTCGTTTATTTGTTTGAGCGGCGGTGTGTAGCCACGTGGTTAATGACTGCAGGGTGTCAGTGACAGGACCTCAGCCATAATTCATGATAGACCTTGTGTGTGTGCGTGTGTGTGTGTGGTTCATCTGAACTTGATCCGAGCTTTGGCCTCGTCACCTGTCGGCTGGGTTTCCTGCCGTCGGTGTGCGCTGCAGGATCCACGCTGCATGCTACCTGCACGCTGCTAACATCCTGCTAACATCCTGCTAACACTCAGAGCCGCTCGGGGCAGGAAGCTGCTCCACCTGCAGAAGCTGCAGAGCTGCTGAACCCCAGATCCACCACACACACTTCATCATTACCACACACACACACACACATACACACACATACACTCCTGAGTTCAGCTATGTAAATTCTGGTTTATTCATGTGGACTTAATTTTAGTGAAGTTTTAGTCTTGATTCATTGAAAACTAAAGATAATTTTGTCAATTCAACCAAAAACATTTGTCTTTTTTCCTTCTCACACCTTGTGGGAGGAGTTGTAGCAGGTTTCTCTCTTGATTGAAATGTTAACAGTGAACTTTTATCAGAGATGAGAAAATTCCCCCAACAGTGTGAAATCTATGATGCATTTAAAAGCACCGAGGTGGGTCAGTGAGACAAATCTTTGAAGGACGAGGCCAGTGACAGTTGCATTAAATCATACACTTAACGTTACATCACTTAGTTTTTGTGAATTTTATTCACGGCTTTAACCAAAAAAACATTCTCATCAGGTTCTTTTATTCAGTTTTTGCATTGAATTATATTTATATCATGATATGTATTGATATTGAATCTGCATTTTCATTTTCAGTAAATCCTGTTATTGGATATTGATATTTGATATATTTATGGATTTTATCTTTATTCTGATCTCCTGTTTTTATTATTTTCCTCCGGTTTCTTGCCGTCGGACTCATACAGCTTCTTCTGCAGCTGTGAAGTTTGAAGCACGCTTCACCAGTGGCAGTCACTTCTCCTCTTCTTCCTCCTCAGTTCCCTGAATGTGGATTTTTCGGGATGTACGACAAGATCCTTCTCTTCCGTCACGACCTGAACTCAGACAACATCCTGCAGCGGCTGATGTCAGCGGAGGAGATCCATGAGGGCGACCTGGTCGAGGTGGTGCTCTCTGGTGAGAAAATTAACTCTTCGTCTGCTGAATATTATTTCTCTGCATCAAATAGTCAAGTCCTGCGTCCTCTTCATCAGACTAACTTCCTCCTCCAGCTTCTGACTCTGATGCCAGCGTTAAACCAGCATCAGAACCACATCTTTAAAGAAAATTCAAATTTATGTTTTATCATAAATAATTTATGAATCTGTGACGTGGTCTGTCTTCTTTTTTAAATCTCCTTAAGTCTTTATGGAGTCTGGAAGCAGCTGAGTCGTATTTTGCTGCTTTAGTTTCTGATTTACAGAAACTTTTAGGCACAAAAGTCAGAAAAATAAGAAAAACAAAAAACATGACTCTGATCTTAAACTGTTTGTGTTTGGAAATAAAATCATTTTAATCATCATGTAAATCAACAGTTAAAATAAAGTTAAAAAAAAACAAAAAAAATAAAAAATGAAAAAAAAACGGGCGTTGAGTGGCGCAGTGGGTCGAGCAGGCGCCGCACGTGTAGAGGCCACAGTCCTCGCTGCAGCCGGACCCGGTTCGAGTCCCGCATCAGACGGCCCTTTACTGCATGTCATTCCCCCTCTCTCTGCCCCCCCATGTCCTGTCTCTCTCTACTGCTCTGTCACAATCTGTCAATAAAGGCATAAAAGGCCCAAAAAATATACGTAAAAAAACATCACATTTGCACAGTTTTGATTTTGTTTTATTGATGTTAAAATAATGATTAACAAAAAATATCATTTTTGATTATTATCACTCTAAGTATTTGCATTATTAGTGATTGTTATGAATCAATGAATCATATATTGGCTGTGCAGGTTCTACAGCCTCAAGTCCACAAGAAGAAGAGAAAGTTTTACAACAATTGAAATCATTTTACATTTATTTTATTTGTTTTGTCTCAGCTTCCTCCTGTTGTTAAAATGTGCAGACACATAATGATTAACAAAAAATAGATAATCAGATCTAGTTTCCTGCAGTGTGTTGCCCTGGATCGCCCTGTGCGCTCTAACCATGACAGTGTGTATGGGATCGTCATTTCCTGAGTCGTGTCGACAGGTCGGGCTGTAGAAACTCAAACTGACACCTTCACAGCTCAGAGCGGCGGCAGGTTTACGTTACACAGGAGGAAGAAAACAAAGTCGCAGCCCGAAACCGAATCAGGCTCAGACCCGAGACCACTTCCTCCTCCTCCTCCTCTTTTTCTCCTCCTGCTGCTGCTGCAAAACCCTGCAGATCTCTGCTGCTTTATTTCTTTATTACTGTCACTGTTCATTCTGCACTGGAGGACAAATCTGCCCCCCATATACAACAATTAACAATAATTACAGCTGCTTAAAACCTGCTGTTCCAAAAGAAAAATGGTTAAAAACCTGCAGAGCACCAAGTTTCACCGTCGTGGTTGTTTGAGGAAATCAAAATAAAGTGTGAATAACAACACAAATAGTTTTTTATTCATCAGTTCACTTCAGTTCACAAAGTGCAGTGAACTGAACAATCAGATCAATACATGCTGTGACCACACTTCGCCTTTTTAAACATTTAAATTGTTCTATTTGTGGCTCTGCAGAAACACGTTGATTCAACATGTTAAAGACACTTATATGTGTGTGTGTGTGTGTGTGTGTGTGTGTGTGTGTGTGTGTGTGTGTGTGTGTGTGTGTGTGTGTGTGTGTGTGTGTGTGTGGATCAGGGACAAGAAAGCCTGAACTGGGATGTTCCTAATGTTCTGGTTTGTTCTGGTTTTATACAATGAAAGCCACGTAGTTTCCTGAAAGTTAAAAACATTCCATTTTTTTGAATCAGTTTTTCTGTGTTTATTGTTTTCAGCTCTGGCCACGGCCGAGGATTTCCAGATCCGACCTCACACGCTCTACGTTCACTCCTACAAGGCCCCGGCCTTCTGCGACGACTGTGGGGAGATGCTGTGGGGGCTCGTCAGACAGGGACTCAAGTGTGAAGGTGAGAGCTGCGAGGTCTAAGGTTTGATACCTGCCTGGTTTACATCAGGTCGCGTTACGATGACTCTGAACTGATGTGGTTCACACCTGCAGTCACACGCAGGAGGGGTGTGTTCAGACTGAGGAGACACTCGTGACACAGAGGTGTGAACTCACACTGGAAGAGTCTCAGATCAGGTGGATTTGAGGTGTGATTACAGTTCGAAAGTCTCAACAAGACACAGATCAGGTTGTTGTGATTCAACATGACTGGATCTGCTTCCTGTTGGCAACACAAATACACCCGAGCTCCACTAAACTCACAAATGACATTCAGTTTGCACGATGTTGTTAATAAATGAGTCTGTAAATAATTAACACAATGCTACAAGTCTTTAGACTCTATGGAGCCTTAAGGTGATAGAAGCTGATTTTGTAATTGTCCCAGAGCTGATTTTAAAGGTCTGAGTCCGAGATCTCAGACTCACAGTTTGTGCTCTTTAACGTCTTTAATTCTTCTTCTTCGGTTCTGAAAATAATGACTTTGTTTAAACGACATTTCATTGCATCGTGATGCAGTTCTGCAGCTACGGAAATACAGAACCACAGTCGAATGTATGAGTCAGACGGAGGCTCGGTCGATCTGATAACGAACCACTCGTCAGAAATGAGCGTCAGGATATCTGGGTATTTAAATCAAATCAGACGAGCTTCCTGCCAATTAAACTTTATGAGAGGAAGTGACGTGTTTGTGCGGTGATGTCAGAGGAATGGGACGTTAATGAGTTTAACAGAGACGGACAGATTTCTCAGGGTTCGGCCTCAGCTTTGATTAATGCCACGTCCAGTTGAGGCTCAGGCAGACGTCCAACACACACACACACACACACACACACACACACACACACACACACACACACACACACACACACAGACACACAGGTTTTCACACTGGTTTTCAGGCCTGAATCAAAGCTGCAGTGACTGTGCAGCAGGATGTCTTCATTGACTACACGACTTCCTGCAATTCTTTTTTTTTTTTTTTTTTTACAAAGATTCTCGTCTTCTTAAGTCTCGATCTCAACGAGTGAATCTGAACTTTAGCGACGCCACGCAGAGAGGAGGGACGCAGCCGGCCTCCTCCTACAGAACCTGTTTGGAGGAAGAAAAAGTTAAAAATGTTTTCAGACTAAGTGGCAGAGTGAAGAAGTGATTTTAGCCTCTAGTTTAATAAACAACCGCACGAACCACATCCTGAGCTCTTTAAAACTCACGTACCTGCATTTTGAAGCAGCTGCACACCAGCAGATCATTTTAGGCCGAGAGGATCCTGCTCTCAGATTTTGGTCCTGGTTCTTTTTGCTGCATGAATGAACCGTTTGATTTTCACATCTCGTCATGCACATCTCTTAATGGGGTTATTCAGACACTTTAATTCAACAATGTGACTGGTTGGCCCGGGCAACGACACAAAGCTCCCATTCATAGAAAAACTGCTTCTTCTTTTTTTCTACTCATGGAATAAATCTTTTTTTTTTTTTTTGCATCTTTAGAGCCTGTTTACTTTTAGTTTTTCTGTGAATGGCATTGTTGATTTTGGCCACGTGCACCTGACATTATCTTTTGAAAAGCCTGTAACAATTCAAACCAGTTCAACACACACACACACACACACACACATACACACACATACAAAGGGAAGTGGGATGTGACGGATACACAGCAGCATGTGATACATCTTCCCAGAGAAGCTTCGAACTGGCAGCGTGTCAATAGGAGGAAGCACTCGGCCTTTTACACCCAGCTCAGGAGAAAGAGTGGAGGGAAAAACATCAACAGGATACAAAAGAAATATATTAAAGCTCAATATTCTCTTCTTCTCCTGTGTTTTATTTGAAGCACTGATCCATAAGAAGATATATTTGTGGTTTTAAGAACCAAAAACCATCTCAGTGTAGTTTTACATCTCCTCTCTTTACTTTCACAGTATTAATATGGAACCTAGACCAGCTTTATAATCAAACACATGGACAGAGACTTTTACACTGGAGGAGCTCTAAAGGAATAGTTCAACAGTTTGGGAAATTTGCTTATTCACTGAATTATGAGAAACATAACGATATAATATATATACAGTAAAGATACAATGTTTAAAATTAATAAGAAAAACAAATTTTTAAAATAAATTTATACTAAAAGTTGTTTTGATAAAAAAAATGTATTTTATATCGTTAACATATACTGTATGTTATAACACAAAAATGTATCATAGATAATATACTCACAAATTCTTATAAACTTATATCTTCATATATCCCCCTATAGGTGACATAAATGGCGCTATCACTCTTGATGTAGGGACATATACTGTATGTCATATATTACATTTCTGTTTGGGAGAGCGGGGAGTCGATTAGCGTAGCTTAGCAGTTAGCCTGACCCTGTCCAAAGGTTCAAACAAACACGTTCCTGGACCTTTAAAGCTCCTCATGAACATGTGTTTCCTTTTTTAATCTGTACATAAATCGAAATGTAAAAATGAGTTTGTAGTTTTGGGATAATTACGTGCTGAAACTACTGGAGACGTAGTGACCTGACTGTGTCCAGACAGGAAGTGAAGTGAAGTGAGGAGGCGGGATGATAACATACAAAGTCAGTGGAAAGATTAGAAAGATTGGATGCAAATTCGCCCAGACACAAAGGTGCTGTTCAGACCTGACATCAACATCCGTCTCAGGTGATCTGATCACAGGTGGACAGCTCAGGTCACACCTGGCGTGCATGAGAGAAGAGAAAATAGCAGAGAAACTGGAGGGAAATAACAGAAAGAAGTGGAGTTTTCTTGTGAGTGAATGACACCTCACCTCCTGTCTGAACACACCTGTAGAGGTGTTGGCAGGTGTGGCTCCAGCGACACCAGTATCAGTCAGGTTGTGGTTTGATCCTCCACACAGACTGAAATATCTCAACAGCTACTGACTTATGACATGAAATCTAATCCAAACATCACACACATGGTCCCCAGAGGATGAATCTCTCTTTTCATTTGGCTTCATCATGACATCAACATTTAAATTCACCCAATTCTTTATTTTTTGACCAAATACATGTAAAACTGATGAAGTTCCCACTTTGAGTTTAGTTCTAAATAGCAAATGTTAGCATGCTAACAAATCACCACTTTTTCTCAAATTCCTATTATTTTTATTTTTCCTGCCAAAAGATTCTGGATCCTGCAAACAGTCAGAACTCAGGTGCATAAATCTGGCAGGTGTGTTCAGGCTCCTTTAGACTGGAGGAGCTTTAACCCAAGTTTGGCTGCAGAGTGTGAGTTTGTTCTGACCGAGCTGCTGGTGTGGGACAGTGGATGAGATTAAATGACTTAAGAGTCGGTTTTTTTCTCCTCTGCAGGATGTGGACTGAACTACCACAAACGATGTGCGTTCAAGATCCCCAACAACTGCAGCGGCGTGAGGAAGAGGCGGCTGTCCAACGTGTCCCTGCCGGGCGCCGTAATGTCCGTCGCTCGACCACCTTCCACTGAGTTCACCCCGGCGCCGCAGGAGGAGGTGGGTCCAACACCGACCGTCAGAGCTGTGTTTAGGTTTCTGACCATGAATTTCAGAGCACATAATTACAAAGATATTGATTATAGCTGATTTTAAAAATGGCGTCTGAGCTCCTTTAACCTGTCAAGAGGTTTTAAATGAAGAATCAGCTGCAGCCTCGTCACTGTATCTGCCACATGTTGATGAAGTGAAAGTTTGATTCATTTCTGACACGTAACGAGTGACGTGAGTGAAAACACACACACACACACTTTCCATACCAGCAGATCTACGTGGTGCAACCGTTCACAGTAGTTTCCCTCTCTCTCTGTTTCACACACTCTCTCTCTCTCACACACACACACACACACACACACACACACACACACACGATGATGGCTGGAGGCGAACCACTGGATTTTCCATCCTGTTCTAACCAGCAAACAAAGAGCTTCACACTTGTTGGAACAAACACAGTTATCCACACACACACACACACACACACACACACACACACGCACACGCACACACGCACGCACACACAAAAAACAAATCAAACACACCTCCCCCCACTTTTTAACAGCGATGTCGTCAGACAAAATCACCAAACACCTGAGTTAAAGACAAAGACTGTTTTATTATTAATATATCATTTTCTTTATGATATATCAAAGAGACCTGCTCCATATGAAAAGTATGGGAAGGTGGATTATCAGGCTTTTCTGTACTAATTCAGGCCCATTGTGTCATACGCTGCTTCCTGCTCCTGTCTGCGCTGCGCTCTATAAGCCGCCACGTTGTACAAGGACATTCATTGTTCCAGTGGACAGAGGAGATTTCATCTGTGCTCCACTTTCATGACGAGGGAACAATTCTCCAAATCCGACGTCTCAGCTGAACCTCGTGAACCCTGACTGATCCCCACATCTCCCCGACGTCGCTTTTACAGTCGCGTCTTGAAAAGTCTTAAAAACACTGAATTCCCTTCATTAAAAATGGCATTAAAAGGCCTTAAATTGAATTTAAAAATGTCTGTGAATTATTGTTTTATGCAGCTGGGATGTGCTGTACACTGACGGTTACGCTCATTGGTTAAACTCCTTGGTTTCCCCTCTTTCCGTCAGCAGCGCCCCCTCCTGGGTGCCGGGAAGCGTAACTCCCTGCTGAGCGGTCGACCCATCTGGATGGAGAAGATGGTCCTGGGGCGGGTCAAAGTCCCTCACACCTTCTCCGTCCACACCTACACTCGCCCCACCATCTGCCAGTTCTGCAAGCGCCTGCTGAAGGGACTCTTCCGCCAGGGGATGCAGTGCAAAGGTGACGACCTGCCAGAGCCTGAAGTCAACAATATATTCAAGCTACTAGTATTTTTTCATTATCATTCAACCTGCTGCTCATTCTCTCCAAAGCCAAAGATGATGTCTTCAGGTCACTTGTTTGACCAACCATCAGTCTAAATCCCAAAGATATTCAACATTATCACGAGACAAAAGAAAGCAGTGAATCCTTGTATTTAAGAAGCTGTAACCAGACAATGTTTGATGTTTTTGCTTGAAAAGTGACTGAAATGATTTATCAAAATACTCCCAGGGTGACTGTTTGTTCCTGTTTTGCTTCTGTAGATTGTAAATTTAACTGCCATAAGAGATGTGCAGCCAAAGTTCCTCGCGACTGCCTCGGTGAGGTCGACTTTAACGGAGGTGAGTTACACGTCAGAGTTTTTTACCTTGGCTGTGTGATCGGCCCGTAGTGAACATGCCCCCTATCACAGCTTTACTTTCACATTTTTATCATCTTTGTTATGAGTTATGTTTAACATTCTCAGCTATAAGTTAAATTAATTCCTGAAAATCTAATTTGTAAATAAATAAAAAAAATGTATTGACTTTGCATTTATTGTCATTTGTGGTTGTTTTCTATTTATTTTCCTGTGCGATTATTTGATTTTAGTTTTAGTTTTATTTAGTTGTAAAGTTGGTTGTTAGGAAAGTGTTTTTAAATAAAGTTCATTATTATTATTATTATTTTTCTTTGGAGAGAATCTGAGGATTTTCTTGTTCACTTCAGGTTTTTGTTGTAGCCGTCACCGAGTGGCCATTAGAGGAACTGCAGCTTTAGTTTGAATAAAAACAGTCAGTTGTAGATCCTGTACCCGGACTCTGACTCTGTGTTTCTGCAGAGCCGGCCAGTCCCAGTCTGGACTCCGAGGCCACGATGGAGGTGGACAACTGTGACATCAACAGCGACGGAGGCCACAGCATGGACGAGCAGGACGAGCCGTCCACCCCCGAGGACAAGCTGTTCTTCATCGAGGGTCCCTGCGTGGACGGCGAGAAAGACGACGAGACGCTCAGAGCCATCAGGTGACGCCCCCTCAAAACCAAACGCCCTCTCAAATTAATTTTAACATTAATAATCAGAAGGTTCAGTATCTAATCAATCAACAGACAAGAAGCTTTTATTTTACCCATTTAAATCAGAACGATGTGTGTTTGTTTGTTTGTTTGTTTGTTTGATGGTTTGTTTGTTTGTTTGTTTGTGGTCACGCAGCCCGTCCACCAGCAGTAACATCCCTCTGATGCGCGTGGTTCAGTCCATCAAACACACCAAGAGGAAAAGCTCCACAGTGGTGAAGGAGGGCTGGATGGTGCACTACACCAGCCGGGACAACCTGGTGAGAGGACACACAACAACAACACAAAATGGACAAACACCTAATAAATAAATACATTATAATAATGATATACTGAACATCTTTAAATTTGTTTATTGTTTGTTTTGTCTCTTAATGAATTAAATTTAATTATGAGTGCAGGGAGGTGCAGGGAGAGAGCGTGAAAATAACTGTATAATGATTTACACTTAAAAATGACATTTAATGTAAATAATATATAAACAAAAGATCTACAAAGCCTTACAGGATGTAGTATTTTATGTATCCATAACATGATATCAATATTTCATTTTTTTCACTTTTTTTTAAATATCACGTTTTTAAAAAAATATCACCATCATTTTACACCTCCACTGTTATTTTACTCTCCGTTGACGTGTATTTAATGTGAGCAGAAATACTGTGTAGCTTGTGTATCGAGCATTTTAAACTGAGTTATCTTAATTTAACTTCATTTACCCTGATAAACCTGCAGATGGACAAACCATACATCCAAACAAAACACGAATCCTGATCTATACAACAACAAAAACATAGAAACACACTATTCATGTCGTATGTTTAAATGTCCGGCTCTGTGTGAACCTGTCAGACCTCCTCCCTGACGACCTGTTCTGTCTCTGCAGAGGAAGAGACATTACTGGAGGCTGGACAGCAAGAGTCTGACTCTGTTTCAGAATGAAAGTGGAGCCAAGTATTACAAGGTAGGAGACAGAGCCAGACCAGATCTGGTTTCAGCTGCTCGGCCCAACGAAGCAGCGGCGTGACGAGGGGCCTGGAGGGAGTCGGGTTCATACAGTAACAGCTCCATCACTGTCTAATGACGACCTGACTGTTCACTGTGTATTCTTAACACTGTATCATGGGGGCCCCCAGGGCGATAACGGCCCCTGATGTTCCCTAATATTGGCACATTTTGTAGTGACAACAATAAACCCCTTCAAACCTCCATAAAGACACTGTACAGTCACTGCTGTTGCCCCAAAACCCCCCAAGGTGGGGCCCCTGATGATGTGTGCTGTGCATGTGAGGCGTTCGGGGAACATCTGTAAATTGTAGCGTCTACCAATGATCTGCATGTGAGGCGTTTAGGGGACATTTGAAAAACAATTGGTTGCTGTAGTTTAATAGTGCATTGTTGGGGACTATTTTCAGCAGCGGATTAATCCACATTAGGTGCTCAGGTGAATATTTGGGGCAGCAGGACGGTGTGTGAGGGACTGACAATTATAAAAATGTAGACTATCACCAGACTTATCGTTTAAACTATTAATTGATTATCAAATTCTTCTCTGTTAATTCTCTATCGATCGACTAACCGTGTTAAGTTTGACTTTAGCAGGTTAGTTGATGGTTGAAAAGTTTTCTCTGTCACTTTCCAGCATTTCTAAGCAGGAGAATTAGTTTCTGTGAAACATGAAGTGATGACATGACGCAGAATTTGGGTCAGAACAGGTCGGAGCAGCTGATTTCCATCCTCACGCCTCCTTTCATCTTGTGTCTGCCAGCGACCTGTCGACCTTTAACACAAAGCGCCACAGAAACCTTTCCTTTGAAGCGAAAGTGAGAGTGCGGTGAGAGGCATGAGGGTGGGGGGGGTCTGTGGTGGCTTCAGGACCTCAGGTCGTTTCCCTGCCGCCTCTCTGGCTCGTCACCGCGCTGCCTCGTGCCCAGAGCGGTTGAGCCACGTCCTGGCTTTTAATCAAATGAATGGATGCTGATGGAAGGGCGTGGCTGTGGGTGGTTGGGTGGTGTGGTGGGTGTGTTTGGGGGGGGGGGGGGGTATTTGGCAAAACACAAGATATTCAGATGATACCAAGAGGCATAAAGACACCACAGAGCGTTTCTCCTTTATATGTTTGGTCTGGCAGGGTTCAGGGTTTTTTGGAGGGCGGAGGAAAAGGAAGGAAGGGGAGTTTTAAACACTGAAATTCAAAGAGCCTCTCACAGTTCAGGGAAGAGAGGAAAGGTGTTGGGATGGAGGGAATATCAGCCGTCTGAAGACCAGGAGGATGCTTCTTATTGGCTGAAATGATTCCTAAAAACTAATGGACACTTTTCAGATTTGGATCTTCTGTAACAAGAACAGGAATCTAAATGTTCTTTCTAACCAACCGCAGGAGATCCCGCTGTCCGAGATCCTGCAGGTGGAGCCGGCGCAGGACTTCAGTAGCCTGCCTCAGGGCAGCAACCCGCACTGCTTCGAGGTGATCACGGCCAACATGGTGTACTATGTCGGGGAGGACAACGGCGGCCTGTACCACAACCCCGTCCTGGCGGCGTCCGGTGTGGGGCGGGACGTGGGCCAGAGCTGGGAGAAGGCCATCCGACAGGCGATGATGCCCGTCACGCCCAAGGCCAGTGTCGGCACGGGGCCGGGCCAGGGGAAGGACCACAGTGAGTAACAGACACTTCAGGCTTCACTCAGGGATTTCTTTCATTTAAAAATGTCTAAAAAATACGTATAAAAAATACAATAAAGCTTCAGAAATCGTCTGGTTCTGCTGCAGTAACCGCCCCCGCAGTGGGTCCCTTGTTTTCTTTCAAAAACAATTTGTGAATGATGTTTTCTTCGGGTAGGTTTTCCTTTCCTTTGCAAGGCAAAGGAAATATAAAATATCACCAGACTTATTCTTTAACAAGTAAACGCCACGTCTCTGTACGATGTGTCCTTGGGGAAAGTGGTCCCAGAAAAGATCCCTGAGGTTCTCCATGAGTTGCCACGGCACATATGCAAATTTTTGATATTTATTGATAAGTAATATTTAACACAAAGGCAGATTTAACTTAATGCTCATTAGAAAACCCGACCCACTGACAGTTACTGCCCGTCTTCACCCTCAAATCAGTTTAGACTCTGAAATGTTTTTATGTTTTAATGTGTGTGTGGATTTGTCTATGAAGAGCTTCCAAATATTGTTTCAGGAGACAAGTGTTATACAACACACACACACACACACACACACACACACACACACACACACACAGACCGCTGCCTCCTGACATTTTAACATGATTGAGGGATTTCAGAGGATTTTCCGCTCTGATTCATCGCAGGTTAAAGTATCTTTTTGTCTGAAAATAACAGATTTAAGTTTCATCCCAAAATGAGATTTCCTGCTCTAAATGACTAAATGGACCTCAGGCATTAAAAAAATAACCATTAGCTATTATGGAAGACTTTTATCGTTATAAATAGTTGTACTTTAGAGGATGTAGTCAGCTGTGTTTCCACCTGTTCAGTAATTAATGTCGAGCTTCCGCTTCTTTCCAAAAATGGATGTTTTGTTTGGTAATGAAATTACACCAACACACATCAATAAGTTAATGGACAGATGATATAACCAGGCCTTTTGTTTTTTTAACCGCCTCAATGACAAACAGTAAAACAGTAAAACAGTTGACCTTTGTGACTGAGGCAGAACAAGAGTAAAGATGACAGGAGTAAATAAAAACGTGTGATAAAAAACAAATATTAAACTACATTATTAAATGCACTGGAGCTCTGATACAGAAACATCAGTGTCAATAAAGTTACATAAACTGAATAGTGATCCAACAGTAATCAGCAAAGGTGCAAAAACTAATGCTGCGTTCACAGTCAGCAGGTTCTGATGTGTTTATCTGTATCGTTGAAGGGGCCAGTGGACTAAACTACCAGATTTATATGAAGTGGTTAAAACCAAAAGTAGTTGAAACTCAACAATTCCTGCATGTTTTTCACAGTAAAAGTGTTCCAGGGATGAATTTGGATCTGCTTCCTGAACTCTTGGAAGGCTTTTATTGTGAAACAGATGGAGGAAGTTTTTTACTAATAGCAAACGGCTCTAAAATATGATGATGATATATAAAACAGAGGATTGTCTTTAGTATCTAATATAATCTCTAATAAAACCTTGTACTTGTACATTGAGCTACATAAGGTCTGGCCCCCTTTTTAAGAATTAATACGCTGCATTGAAATCCGCCAGTATTTTGTTGCGTGCGTGTGAATTTCCCACAGTCAACATGATTGTCAATAAAGTTACATAAGCTCTCTGAATGATGACCTAACCCGTGACCTAATTATCAAACGGCTGCCCACCTACATCAGACTGCAGGTATCGATCTCAGAGCGATGACCCGATCAAACCCTGGCCCGCGATCTGAAATCAATATCAGCTCATCAGTGGAAACTCACTCGCAGCGGCGGGTTTTCCTCTACGCAGAACGAGCCCTCGGCTTTTTGGATGTCAGACTGAATTAACGCAGCATGCAACAGTCTGCGACGCTCTGACAGAGAGAGGTGTTCCTGAACATGCTCACATACTGTACTAAACCCAGAAGAAGAGGAGACAGGAAACAGAGGCTTTTATTTTTGTGAAATCTGGAGAATGATTTGAGATGGCGGCAGCAGCAGCTGGAAACGTCCTCACTGCTCTTTCATCTCGTGTTGAACAAACAAATGTGTCGGTTTGATCTCAGCTGGAAATCTCCTCTCGTCTTGTTCTTTATTAAACAAGGAAACATAGGAAATGAGATTTTAACGATTTAAAGGTTAGAAAAATAAAACCCCACACGTCTCTGCTGCTCAGTGAGTGGGGGAGGGGTTACAGTGTGTGGTTACAGATCACAGCACCTGTGGCTTCTACACTCATATTCTGTATGTTTGTGTCTTGTGTCTCCTCAGAGGATCTTTCTATCAGCATATCAGTGTCCAACTCCCAGATACAAGAAAATGTGGTAAGTCTTATATTTTACATTTTTGTCCAATATGGAGAGTTGTTTTTTGTTTGTTTTTTTTACACCATTTCCGCACCAACAATCCTGTTTATTATATGTTTTGTTTGTATTTATGGTGTAAAATAAAAATTGAATGAAGTTGATTTTCTTTAGAACTGCACTTCTTGAGGTTTACGTACTCACGATATTTGTACTTCACTAAAATTATTTGTCAGATACACTTACTAATTACTTTTGCACTAAAAAACGTATATATTATTATATATTAACCACCAGTTAATGAGTTCAATAAAAAGGTCTAAAGGGCAACTTCACTGTCCTATTTCCTGACTTTTAATTTGAAAACGTTTTCTTGTTCAGGATATCAGTTCAGTGTATCAGATCTTTGCTGACGAGGTCCTCGGCTCCGGACAGTTCGGGATCGTCTACGGAGGTGAGACTTGAAACAAATGAAAACCTGATAGTTACAGTCACATCCTTTTATTGTGACGTTATCTGTCTGAAAGTGTAGGGAAATATAAAGACAGTAATCTTTGATTATTGTGTCTCTTCATTTCTGCTGATTGCACATCATTCTGTTTTATCATCAGCTGAATTAATGATCAATAAAAAAAAAAACTTCCTCCCTTCCCCCTTGTTGTCTCCAGGTAAACACAGAAAGACGGGTAGAGACGTAGCGATCAAAATCATTGATAAAATGAGGTTTCCCACCAAGCAGGAGAGTCAGCTGAGGAACGAGGTGGCCATTCTCCAGGTACGACTGTTTTCATTCAAAGACGAGATCTAATCAAATCAATCTGATCATGAAGCACAAAACAAGCTGCAAACACTCCAAGGCTCAATAACTAATGTAGGACTTTTGGAGGATTAAATTCTTTAGATATGTCAGTTCTAACTTAAAAACAAATGTACTAATATGTGAGTATAAGTATGTATCCAAAGAGTGGTTCATTATTTCATCAAGTTGCTCCGTCCCATGTCAGTGTTTTATCTCTCCGTCTTGTTTCTGACAGAACCTCCACCACCCCGGTATCGTTAACCTGGAGTGCATGTTTGAGACGCCCGAACAGGTGTTTGTTGTCATGGAGAAGCTTCACGGCGACATGTTGGAGATGATTTTATCCAGCGAGAAGAGTCGACTGCCCGAACGCCTCACCAAGTTCCTGGTCACACAGGTCAGTGACGCCCACAAACGGTTGTGAACGACATAATCTCAGGAACGCCTTGAGGGACTTTCTTCACATTTGGTACAAACGTTCACTCAGACTCGAGGGTGAACTGATTTGAATTTGGTAGTCAAAGGTCAAAGGTCAAGGTCACTGTGACCTCATAAAACATTCCTAGCCTTGTGAACACAGCATCTCTGGAAGGCCTAGAGCGATATCTTGCAAGATCTCAGCGATTCAAACAGAAATTGTAGCTGTTCTTTTTAGTTTGCTCTGACAGTAGAGTATTAAATCACATTGTGTCCTCAGATCCTGGTGGCCCTCAGACATCTTCACTTCAAGAACATCGTCCACTGTGACCTGAAGCCTGAGAACGTCCTCCTGGCCTCAGCAGAACCCTTTCCTCAGGTTAGAACAAACTATCAAGTCATCGTCTCCTTTCTGCTGCAGTACGACTTTGGAGGAACCTTCACTTCTCCTTTTCCCTCCAGGTGAAGCTCTGTGACTTCGGCTTCGCTCGTATCATCGGGGAGAAGTCTTTCCGTCGCTCAGTCGTTGGCACTCCGGCGTATTTGGCGCCTGAGGTTCTTCGCAGCAAAGGCTACAACCGATCTCTGGACATGTGGTCGGTCGGCGTCATCATCTACGTCAGTCTGAGCGGGACGTTTCCCTTCAATGAGGACGAAGACATCAACGACCAGATCCAGAACGCCGCCTTCATGTACCCACCCAACCCCTGGAAGGAGATCTCAGAGGAAGGTACGGGACCGTTTGAGCTTCGTAGCCTTTGGTTCAGCCCTACCTTCTTACCCAACATATACCTGGGTCCTCGGCCCGAGCCTGGCCCATATGCAGTACTTCCACAGATTCTGGCCAGATTCCGGCTGCCATCCTCCTGTATTGACTGACAGCCGGAAGATTTTCTGGTCCAGATGTGGAAATAGCCTCTGACAGTCATGCCGTATATGGGCCAGATTTGGGCTGTGGAACCAGGAAGATACTGGGCCAGAAGAAAACAAATGTGGATTTATTTTTCTATCTGGGAACAATTTTGATGTTGTTTATGTTCTTTATTTGAGCAGTTCAGCATGTTTCCCTTTCCACTTTCATGTTTAAAATGATTCTGAGGTATTATAGTGGAGTTGTGCAGTTGAGAAGAGGAACTGAGATTTTCTGGTACAGGATAAAAAGTTAAAAGGCTTTGAACCATAAATGACTAAAGAAACTTTGATTTCAAAGCTGCAGTTTCCTTTTAATTTCCTGGCCGACACTGGGATCAAGATTAAACAGAAAAACATCAGATTTCCTGAGTGGATTAAAGGTTGTGTTTCTGTTCTCGCTCACAGCCACAGACCTGATCAACAATCTGCTGCAGGTGAAGATGAGGAAGCGCTACAGCGTGGACAAATCCCTGAGCCACCCCTGGCTGCAGGTAACACACACTGCTTTTTACTGAAACACTGCAGCAGCACAGACAGGAAAGATGGAGGACATTCCTTTAGCTACTGATCAATTCTGATTATACATGGTATGACAACAAGATCCTGCAGATAACGCCATCGATTAACCACCTGAGCTGAAGTAACCAGGTCACTCAGAGAAAACAGGTTATGCTGGTAATCCCAGTGATCTGGTATCTGTAGATCTGTGTGTGTGCAGAGTAGTCAGATAACTCCTGAACTCCCCCGCCTTCTTATTGATGCATGGCCTTCTAACTTTTGACACTTGAGACTCAGATAGCTGTGGTAACAGGATGAAAGATAATTACTTTCACTATTTTTATAGAACATAGAGAGAAAAAGATAATATAAACTGCAGAAACCAGTGTTAGTAGTAGGTAAAATATTTTTAAAGCTCCAAATTTAACACATTTCCTGTGTTGTATTTGAAGTGCTGATCCATAAGAAGATGTATTTGTGGTTTTAACAACCAAAAACCATCTGAGTTTAGTATTACATCTCCTCTCTCAGGCTTCTCTCTGTTTTCTGAGTGATCCAATAAAAATATAGCAGATTTCAGGTAAAAACACTCAGAGAAACCAAATCCTGCAAGGTTTGGATGGTGGGTCCAGGTGGGCGGGGCTTGGTGACTGCTTTGTTGTGACATCACAAAGTTCCAGAAGTCCTGACGGCTGGTTTTAAGGCTCAGTTTCTGAATACAGGCTGTGTGCATTTCTCTGTGGACTGAGGCTTTGATACTTTCACAGTATTAATATAGAAGCTAGAGCTGATCTATAATCACACTACACATGGACACAGACCTTTACACTGGAGGAGCTTTACAGTATTTTGTGGATCCAAAGACGTCCACAACTATTACTGAAGTGCTGTATTACAAACATTATCGTTGATTCTTAGCTCCTTGGTCTGAATGTTATTGTTTACGCTTCGTTGTGCAGGACTACCAGACCTGGCTGGACCTCCGGGAGTTTGAGACCCGCCGCCGCAAGCGCTACATCACCCATGAGAGTGACGACGCCCGCTGGGAGGAGTACGCAGACGAGAGAGGCCTGCACTACCCCAAACACTTCATCATGTCGCCCAACCTGGACGACATGGAGGAAGACCCGTAGTGGCTGCGAGAGGGTCGACGTTTCCTGCAATGAAGCGGCAGACCCCCCCTCCGAGGACTCCCTCAGCAGCTGCAGCGGATGCTGTGGAGTCCATGGTGACTGTGACCATGGAGACCGTGAGCTATCCCATGGCGGCCTGTGATAAAAGGATTAAGAGGACACATGGGTCAGGCAGCTCTACGAGGACACTGTGACATCCTCACTGTGGAGACAAATCAGGTCCAGAGACATTTTTCACACATTTTACCTTTTTCCTATTTTTGCTACAAGCCATAACAGACAGACTCAATGAGCTGAAACCTGAAGAGATTTATTTTATTTTTTCTCAGATTCAATATTTAGTCTCTTAAATAACTGTCTTCACTGCCAGTTGAGCCACAGAGGGGCTGGATAAAAACCAATCCAGAGACTTTATACACTTTTTCAGCTCAAATAGAAAATTGTTATTATGTTGTTGTTACACTTCAGATCTCTTAAAGCTGTGCAGGAAGTCTTTACACATTTAATTGAACACAGAAGAAACAAACACGTTATGTCTTGAAGATGATCCGATTATAATGTTGTTTTGTTGTTTCCTGGGATGTCTTTGCACTATTGGGAAAATATTTTAAAGGAGAAATTAACTGATAATAACTTCTGGTTTGTTCATCTGCAAAAGTCTAAAAATTTCCTCTGGTTTCCGAGGTTTTTTCCGGAGAGATTGAGTTGGACAAAGTCGACAGTCCGGCTGCTCCCTAGTTGATTTGAAGAGTCTTAGTTGATTGGTTGGATGGTCTCAGGGAAAAAAAATAACTCATTCAGTCAACATTGTTTACACCATTGGTCTCTACAGTAATGTAACCGAGCGTCTTGGGTTCAACTAACAAATAAATAAAACGATAAATGGGACACAGAGACGATGAGCAGCAACAAGCAGGACTCTGCCAACAACTCACACTACATTAAATATCAAAACACAAAGTGTGGGATCATTTTGAGAGGATAAAGAACAACCCCATGAAGGCAGCATGCAAACGCTGCAGGCAAACATTCACCAAACTCAAATAAGGCTTATCATTTGAAACGTGTATGTAGCCTAACGTTAGCCACTTAGCATGGCTGCTCGCTCAAACGTTCTCTGTGCTTATTATTCTGACACATTCAGAATCCTTGAACCTTTTGCTGGTGTCGTTAACAGCTCGCTTTGTGCGTGCACTTAAATAAGAGTTATATTTTAAAGGCTCATTTGACAGTTTTGTATCTCTCTGTGATGTAGCACAGTGTTAGCAGTGTTACTTATTACATTCATTCTCAGCTCTGGACTCTAGCTATTTTCTCATAACCCCCAAAAATATATATTTAAATCATTAAATACGATAAACATGGAACAAATAGTCAACCATTGGCTTGAACTACCGACTGATAGTCTTTGGTTGTCTAAATCCAAATTAGTGTCACAATGAGGCTGAAATGCACATTAAAAAATAGAGACAATAGTCTTCTAACCTCACCACTAGTTGTGATTCTGACAATGGGTCACGCTAACTCACCACCTTCGTTGTAGAGAGTCATTAAACAATAGCTTTTTCACACACAAACATTAGCATGCTAAATGTCAAAATGTTTAAGACAGATTTTGTCATTTTTCCAACCTGGGTCTTTTTCTCACAATTGCCGCCATTTTGACTATGGGTCATGGTAACTTTGCTAACTTCTAACTTTCACCACCTCTGCTGTAGAGATTCAGGAGACATTACCACTTTCACATTAACATTAGCATGCTATCATGCTAAATATCAATATGGTAAAGAAAAATTCTGCTATTTTTTAACCTGGATATTATTTTTTATAGTAGTAGCTACCTGGACTATGAGTTATGCTAACTTTGCACACAGCACCTTAATTGTAGACATTTAGTAAACAGACCAAAACAAAACAAGCAGCACAAACCTCTTAAAGCTAGCTTAAACTAGCCTTTTTGATTAGCTTTTTTAGCTAATTGCTCAGAGGTTTGCTTCCAGGGAAATCAAACCGAGCGTGCTAACTTCTAACTCAGGAAAATGTGTAATTTAGCATGTTAGAATTTTAACATGCTAACGTTTAGCATCTTAGCATTTATCTGAAAGCACAGTTGAGGTCGGTGGGGATTCGGTCAGGAAAAGTCAGGATCTAAACCAAGTCTTTTGGATTCATCCTCTGGGGACCATGAATGTCTGAACCAAATTTCACGTCAATACATCGACCCACATTACCGTCACTAAAGCTGCTTAACGGGAATTTAAAGTTTTTGCTCTATTTCAAACAGATGGGATTATTTGAAAAAGTCGTCACAGAAGTTTAGATTCAGCTGTGGGAACATTATACTTTTGCAGAAAAACAAATCCAGTTATTTTCAGTGATTCTTTCTTAAATTTAGATGAAGACGAGCTGAGAATCGAGCTGCTAATGTCTCTTTGTTTTTCTGTGGAAACCTGTCAAAAAAAAAAAAAAGACGACTGGACTGTGGAGCGTCGTTGATCCTGATCCGACTCCAGCCTGAGAATTTTATTTCACATTTTATATTTTTGCAAGAAACTGTCATGTGGTTGATTTTGATGGGAAAATATTAAAGCTGAACGGCTTAACTTTGAGAAACTCTGGTTTTATATCAGTTACTCAACTAACGCTCTTATTCACAGCAGCTCAACAGTCGAACGAGACTCACTCAGACTCATCGACCAGCAAATCAACAGCAAAACTGCTTCAGTTCTTCTACTTATAATTTATTTATAACTCAAGATATTCATTCATTATTCTGTACTTTATTTTGGTTTCAGCTACTTTTTTTACCTGCTGAATATTGTGATAATTTTCCATGTTTCATTTACAGAGCATTAAGAGATCAGAATATAACCTGTTTAATTGGTAGTTAATGTGCTGCCACTAGAATTCAAGTTTTAGATATTAAGTTATAATCTTAGAAAAATTGTCAAATGTTTAAATTGAGCCTAATCTCAAATTAATGTCCGATTTAAAGGCATTAAACTGTTAGAAAATCCTCTGACTTTATCTGGTGGCAGTTTCAAGGCGAGAAACCTGAAGAAGCTCAAGAGTTTCAATAAAATACTTTAATTTCTTCCAAATGTTCGAGTCAGACTCGTCAAATTAACCCCCCCCCCCCCCCCAATCAGAGGAAAAGCTGATAACGATCGGCAGCAGGATGTTTGGAAATGATCATTTAATTACCAATCCTGAACATGATCGCCTCGCTCTGCCGTTCCTCTGGAGGATGGCTGCTTGTTTTGGCAGTGATGACCCCCCCCCCCCCCCCCACCACCCCCCACATGTGTAACTGAATCTTTTAATTGCTACCGGAGGAGCGGTGGGGCTCGATGTGAAGAATGGCCACCGCTCAGCTAAACTGCTTCAAGATGTGGACAGAGGCAGAAAGAGATCCTCCTGCAGCGGGACGACCTTTGACCTCACGGTTAACTCCGGTCGCTCCATCAGGTGTCACTGGACGAGTGTGTTCACCAATTAAACAAAAAACCCACAGTTTTTTTATTTTCTTACTTTTTTACTTCAAAATACTTTTACAACTGACTTCAGGAGAACTTACGTACTACTTACATACTTTTACTTCAAATCATGTCGGACAGAAAACCTGCTCGACTGCTGCAACATTTTACTTCCTGTTCTTTAAATTAAAGAGAGAGACGGCGTCGTCCACCTGTTGTATAATGTACATGTTTAAATATCAGCTGTAAAAACAGTTTGTCTCAGGACATGATCCTCAGTCTTCCCTCAATGTCCGTCCCAGCCGCCTCACTTCACCAGACAAGTTTCCAGTTCTCCAGACGTCTCTGATGAAGGTCCCTCAGGAGAAGCTGAGCTCGGTGAACCCGCCCACCGGCAGCGGCGCCGGGCTCTTCTTCTCCAGCTTCAGCCCCTCCGTCCTCTTGGGTTTGGCGAGGCGGCTGTGGTGCAGCAGGCTGAAGAAGTGGAAGCGCTCGCCCATCTTGGCGGGGTTGGTCAGCATGTCGTAGCTGCTGATCAGCTGCTTCCTGGTGGACGGGTCGCTGCAGTTCCTCAGCAGAACCTGCAGAGAACCATGGGCGGAGTTTAAACCTCTGAAGGTGAGGATCACAACTTTAAAGCTCCACTTATCAATATAATTACATTGACAATAAATGTCTCTATGTAATGTGAAACGTGTCACCCACCTTTTCAGCCTCTTTTAGCTCCTTGTTTTGGTTTTATTGCAGATTTATTGTATGTTTCAGTCTCAGTAATGAAAATACTAATACTATACAGATACTAAATACTGATATGTAATAACTTTTCACACTGACCTGGTGTAGAAACAAATCATTGAGATCAATGAGTCAAAGCACTTCCTGTATCATCAGACTCACTTGCATTCGTGTGTCGATGCCCATGTTCTTCAGGAACGTCCTCTGAGTGACAGGTCCCAGACAGGCCACGCCCTCTCCAGCCATCCTCCGCAGGTAGCTGAAGTCCACGTCAGCGGTGAGGTCAGCCGAGCCGGGGGAGGCCAGGACGTGATGGAGCTGGTGACCTTTAAAACCCTGATGAAGAGCAAGTAAAACAAAAACATTTGTGTGAAGTTTTATTATCATTGCTGTGAAGTCTTGAGTAATGGTTAAAAAGTGTTTTGTGAGGTCACCGTGACCTTTGACCTTTGACTTTTAGCCATCAAACTGTAATCAGTTCTTCCTTGAGTCCTAGTGAACGTTTGTGCCAAATGACAAGAAGTTCCATCGAGGTGTAACGGAGATATCGTGACCATGAGAATGAGACGGACAACCTGAAAACAAAATGGCCTCCGGCTCTGAGGAATAAAAAAACTTATGATGTGAAAATGAAAATGAGAGAGAGGGGAAGAGGAGCGATGAGCCCGTCGACCCCGGTTTCCCTCCGCCTGCAGCAGCGGAGCTTCGCTGCTTCCTGCATCTGTTTCCTTCGACTGTATCTGAGGACGGGACAGAGCGTCTGCTCCTCGCAGAGACACGGGGATTACAACAGGACGAAGGTTAAAGGACACACAAATCAAACAGCAGAAGAAGAAATGTTTTCTAAAAAGTCGGCTGTTGCTTCTTTTTTACAATAATATTTAAAATCGGTGTCGTACTCTGAACGTGTCCGTCTTGGTTCCATCGTGGCCGTAGTCGGCGATCAGCGCCGCTCCTCCGTGCTCTACGATCCGCCGGGCCAGCTGCTGGACGATGACCCCGCCCTCCGCACACACCTCCACATGATCCCGCCGTTCATCTGCCTGACACACACACACACACATTAACTTAATCAATAATACATTACAGTCAGGTTTCCATCTTTTTAAGGTGGACTGAATATTTTCAGTGATAAAATTCCTTCATTCTGATGATCGATTATTTGTTATTTATCAGGCAAAATCCAAAACATTCTCTGGTTCTGATCTGTTAAACAGAATTTTCTGTCTCCAGCAGGAAAGAGAAGATGTTAAAGTCTTATATTAATTAACTAATTAATTCTTAATAATTAATTATGTCAGACTTTTTGTCATTGAAATCTAAAACTTTAAAGCTCTATATTTTCTTCTTCTGTGTTTTATCCATCCAAGTGTTGATCCATCAGAAGATATAAAAACCATCTCAGTGTAGTTTCACATCTCCTCTCTCAGGCTTCTCTCTGGAGCTCTAGTAACAACAGGTCGGTGAGCCAATCAGAAGAGAGGAGGCTCTGAGGCTCTCTACTGATTGGCTGATTGTATTCTAAGTGATCCAATAAAAATAAAGCAGATTTCAGGTAAAAACACTCAGAGAAACCAAATCCTGCAAGGTTTGGATGGTGGGTCCAGGTGGGCGGGGCTTGGTGACTGCTTTGTTGTGACATCACAAAGTTCCAGAAGTCCTGACGGCTGGTTTTAAGGCTCAGTTTCTGAATACAGGCTGTGTGCATTTCTCTGTGGACTGAGGCTTTGATACTTTCACAGTATTAATATAGAAGCTAGAGCTGATCTATAATCACACTACACATGGACACAGACCTTTACACTGGAGGAGCTTTAAATCACCAACTGATGCTGAGGGGCTCCCGACCTGGAGTGTTTCTGAAAATCCAGCGGACACTTTCAGCCCCAGTTAAATGCATCATCATCAGCTTTTCAAGGAGCTCCTCTTTAAGTCTTTTAGTTGCCACATCACAATCTCATCACTGCTTGAGTTTTAATCTCAGTGAAAGACGAATCCTCCTTTTTCTCTAGGCTGAGGCCGAGCTCCAGCCCTTCTTCATCCAAACAGCCTGATGATGATGATGATGATGATGATGATGATGATGATGATGTCAGGCCTCTGGCAGCATGTTCAAAGTGACTGAACTGAGCCAGAGTGGCCAAATCAAACCGGCTGTGGATGTATGGAGGGCATAAATGTGGGCAATAAAAACCAGATGGAGGCAATAAAACAACCCTCTGAGAGCGTGTGTGAGGAGTTCATTTCCACTGTTTCAAAGATTAAAGACGTTCTCCAGTCTGCACTTTAAAGTGGAAATAATCAAACTCTTATAACTCCTCTCAAATTAACCTAAACCTCCAGAGCTTTCACAGCCCCCACACTTTGACTTGTAGCTCTGTATGTGGCTCTTCTTTTCAGATGTCCACCCACTGTTCTCTACTGTACTTCAAGGACATTTCTCTGTTCTTCAGTGCAGTTATTTTCCATCTACCCAGTGGAACGCAGTGATAACGTGTCGGGAGAAATGGTCTGAATACAGAGATCCACAGAGAAAAACCTGAATAGATTTTTTTTTTTTCACAGATTTTTCACATTTTTGTAGAAGAACAACATCTGAAGAGCCGAGGTGACGTCTGGAGACAGACTTCATGCTGGGAGAGTTCGTCAATACACAGAAAGTTCAGTTTCAACGTTAACTGTTTGAGAAAAATGCCAAGTATTCTTCAGTGAACCGGTGTTTTATATCAGCGTGGCCTGAATATCTTCTGAGGACCAGTCGAGTTATTCCAGACGTCACAGACGTGGCTCAGACTTTTTGTTTGACATCAACTATTAATCAGAATAATTAAAAAGCCTGAAGAGACTCGTTTCCTACAACCTCCAGCTGCAGGAGTCCTGTCTGCTTCACATTCTCTTCACAACTTTATAAACTCCGCTCATCACTGATGATAAAACATCTGACCTCGTCAGTGTGAATTAAATATTACACCTGTTACACAATGAGGGAAAGTAACCAGGTAGATTTAATTAAGTATCATACTCTGAGTCAAATTTAGAGGTACATGTACTCCAGTGTTTTTACTTAATAATGCTGCTCACAGGTAAAGTTACTAGTTAGTTTGATAATCTTATAAAACACATTACAACGCTAAAGTTTAAAGCAGTAGTTTCCTGTGACCACGTGCAGAAAGAGAAGGATCCAGTTCTTCTTTCTTCCCTCATTAATCATCTCACGACTCCTCTGATTCATCTGGTGACCCTTCGTAGGGGCCCCATCCCCATGTTGGGAACCGCCGAACTAAAATAGCTCAAACCAGCTGCAACAGTGACATGCTGCATTATTAATTCATCTAATATCGTCATACAGAAGAATCAGTCACACGCTGCTGAAACAGAATCACGAGCGCAGGACTTTTAGTTTTAATGGAGGATTTTTCATCGTTGGTTTGATACTTTGTGACTCGTTCTTCCACCCGACGTATTAATGAATTTAAGAAATGAATTCCTTCCCCTAAATATTTTTATCATCAGACAGAAACCATTTAAACCGACATCGTGTATTTGGCGCTCACCTGTACGAGCGTGGACGAGGCCAGGGTGGGAGACGGCGTTATGACGAACCTCAGCTGGTCCGGCTTCTCCGGGTCGATGTCCACCATCACCTCCCTCCAGCCTTTCTCCGTCCTCTGTCCAACACACACACACACACACACACACACACACACACACACACGTCAGACAGAGTGACAAGTGTCCAAAACACACAAATATAAATGTGGGACGGTAATTAATTAATATAAAAACCAGTTTAAAGACGAACAGAAACAAGAAGAATCTCTTTATATCTACAGGTTAATTACGAGATTTACACATCAGACTTAATTCTTAGTGAGATAAAGCAGGAAGAGTCACATCTGGAAACAGATGTTTGGTTCTGTTCACTTGACTGAACCTTGATCTTCAATATACGGGAAAACGTTTGGTCAGTGTGAAATGAGACCGGTCAGATGTTCAGAAACTATATCATGTCATTTCTCCAGATACTGTTCCTGTTTTCTTTCTCTTGAGCGCCTCCTGCTGGTGAAGACACATGAAGTTTGTGACTCTGCGACCGTCACTGTCACTCAAGTCCAGAGACACGGAGATGAGCTTTTCTACAAACGTGTGAAGAAAGAAAAAGAGTTGAAATCACGTGAAAAACTCTTCACACAGTTTCTTTCCACTTCACCTGAAACTTGTGGACGGGCAGAGCGTCGAAGAACTCGTGAGCCAGAAAGATGCTGAAACCTGAGGAGAGAAACCAGCTGTTAGATAAAATAATAAAATAATAATAATTTATCTCATTAGTGTTGTAATAAAGAGAACACACACAGGAAGAGTTCTGTTCCTCTACTCTCACACACAGGAAATAAAATGTCAAGACACCTGAGATGTAATTATTTAACGTACCGGCTCATATTTAGTAAAGGTCGTTATTTTAAACAGTTTGTTTTAGAGCCTGGAATTAGCACATTCACACCAATACTTGGATCTGATGATATGAAACGTTGTGATTTGATGATTTGATCTGAATTCACACAGATGTGCAGCAGTGATTCTTCTGACCTGGGGGGACGTCGTCTAAGCGGCGGTACCAGGACACCGGCAGACCGGCTGCAGTCTCGCCGCGGCGGTACACCGGCTCGTCCTCGGCCTCCGCCTCCTGGCTGCGGGTCCCGGTCAGGTTCTGGGCCTGCAGCTGACTCAGCGCCGGACTCACCTCGACCAGGTGGAGCGACACGGAGACCTGACCCAGCATTGACCTCAGCTGACCGAACACCTGCAGAGAGGGGGGGGGGGTCTTTATACAGATGTTTCTAAAGCACCACAGGGTGATGATGCAGCTGTGTAATGATTATTAACACCAGGGAAAGAAACAGAACAATTACATTAATTTTATTCTATTCTATTCTTTTCTTTTTTAATTAAGGCTATATAAAGAAATAAGTTTACAAAATAAAAGCATACAGGCAAATAATAAAAATAAAGAAAATAAAAGAATATAAGATGAATGTTCTGGATTTCTTAAATGTAACTGTGTTTAAAATCTTTCAAATTATTCAATAATATTGTTTATTACTGATTTGGTGTTTCCCTCCTCACTGAGCTTCAATGAGACATTTGTGTTCTATATAAATTAAGATTTAGTTGCCAAGTCTAAAATAATGTTTTAATTAGAAACAAACTCCATCTTCATCCAAACGTCAGTTCTCACACACGTTGCTTTAACTCGTCTCGGCCAGAAACCTGACGGTGACTTGACTGAGTCCAGACTGTCGAGGACTGAAGCTGCCAGACTCTAAACCAGGAGCGAGAGGCGGGAACACGTCAGTCCTGTCTCTGCTCCTTTACACTGGATCCCAGTATGTGTCAGAGCGGATTCTCAGATCTCACTTTTAAGGCTCGTCATGTCCTTTTGTCCCAGTCACATTTATGACCTTTCAGTATCATATAACAGATAACAGACCTCTTGTCTAAAGCGGGACACACACCTGTTAAAGAGTCACACCTGTTAAATCTAAAAAACCTGGTTTTATTTGATTTTTTATTTGGTTTTAATCCTGTTTTTATCATTTCTTTTATCTTGCATCACTAAAACTGTTTATCTTTTATCATGAAAGTTGCTCAACAAATAAAGGTTATTATTAATGATATGATATTGTCCACAAATTAAAGATTTTCTCCGAAGACTACCAGTTGAGATAACATGTTCAACAGTTCTCAGGAAATATCATTGGGCAAACATCTGATGTGACGACTGCGACCCATTTGTAAGAGTCGTTGTCGAGCTGTTTTAAATAAGACGACTCAGTTCTCACTCTGAGGACGTCGCTGGCCAACGATCCTTTTCCAGGTCCGAGCTCGACCAGCTGCAGCTGTCTGGGTCCTCCTGCTCCCATCCACTCGCTGACGATCCACACGCCGAGCAGCTGCACCAGAAAACAACATATCAAACAACAGACAGCAGCAGGGGATGGTCCCAGGTTTTCTTATCTACCAGAGCAGACGTGCTGCTGTCGAACCCTGCTGTCCTGTTTCTGTCGTTTTGTGACTGCTACAAGAACTTTCTGGTGATTTTCAGAACTGAAACAATCACATGAAAAACCAACTAATGTTTGATGAATCAGCCGCACAAATGCTGACAATGCTTTGCATTTCTTTGTTGAAGTTGAATCAGCTGATATTCACAAACATTTAACACTAAACAAAAATAACAATAAACTGCTGGGAAAATGTTTTTTTAAACCGTCATAAAGTCAATGAACTTCAGTAATGTCCGTTTCTGATCCTGAGTGTCGACTGTATTATTACTTCTTTCAAAGCTTATACAGTCTCACTTTCAGGTTTAATTTTTCCGGCCTCACCTCTCCGAATATCTGACTGATTTCTGGTGATGTGATGAAATCTCCCTCCGGTCCCAGCATGTTGTTCCTCACATAATAACCCTGACAGAGAAAAGAATACGTCTGAGTGAAGGATGGTGACTGTGTTCAGGTGGTAGAAAGACAAATGGTCTCACTGAAATATAAACATTCATGGTGAGTGGTCCATACTTACCGTCACAGGGTTGGTGAGCACCTCCCTCATGTACTCGGCCACTGGAATAGGACCTGTGGCTTTTATTTTGGAGGTCAGGTGGCGCAGCATGGACGGTCTGGGCTTTTCGTCATCTGGTGAAGAGCTGCAGAGGAGTCTGGTCTGAGCTGCTCGCCATCGCACTGTCACTCACAAACACACAGAGAGAGTGAGATGTCCAGGAACATTAAAACACACAAGATAACATGCGTTACCTCCAGGAGACTGACTTCCTGTGACAATATGTTGTAAATGAAATACTCTCTGTGACTTTGACCTGTGTTCTAAATGACATTTTCTCAGAATTTGAATTGTTTATTTTGGTGTCTGACAAAATAAACTTAAAACATATATATATATGGAAATGTGTATGCAGCACTCTGGTCCTGGTGATGATGACTGGTAATGGCTTGTATGAATGCAGGCTGGACATAGTTATAATATATATTGTATGTATTAATAAATTAATTAATAAAAATATAATCAGTTCACATAACATGTTATTTAAGCTGCACAGCATGTAAAAGTGATTTTGTTAAAATTTGGACAGGGTAATATTTTGACTTTTTAAGCACTTCCGTAAAGCTGTTTGTCCATAAATCAAAGTTACATCGTTTTTAAATGAAAAACATTTCACACTCACCTGCTGCTGGCGGACTGAAGACTCTGCTGAGCAGCTGCCGTGTTTTAGCACCAAGGAAAACCCTCATTCTGCTGTATGTTCATCTACATAAGACTATAACATCTGACTGGGTGACATTATTTGACCGATGTTAAGTAAACACTAACTTTCACCTCTGCTCTCTGACAGGATTAGCGGGCAGCCGGTTAGCATTAGCCACGTTAGCTACAAATGCGTTCACGGCTAAAGACGTAAAGAAGCGATGAATTAGCTTCGGATACGAAAGATAAACATGTACATGTGCTCATCTGTTCATGTCTGTCATTCAAAGTTGAGAGAAGCTACAAAATGCGTGTACAAGAGCTAAACACTAACACGGTGATGAAACGAAAGATATAACATCCGGGTAACCTTTCACAATAAAATACTTTATTGGCCAAAAGAAAAAAAAAATCCACATTTTTAAATTTGTTTTAAACAAATCTGACAAACAAATCCGAATCATCGTGTGTATCCCGTTTATCTGCCGGTTAATTCATCAATGAGTCAAGATAAGAAATCATGTATGTAGCCTCCTAACGAGCTGCGGTTTAGTATTAGAGATTTAACGACCGAGCGCTATTCAAGTACTTACAGTTGTCCCTGTCTTTACTGCAATATTAAAGCAATGTTTACACATTAATGCGTGAATTATAATACAATAACATTAGACACATTATATGTGTATTGATTGGTCATTACACCGCTGGTAAAAGCAGCTTTTCCTGAAGTTGTATTTGTTACTTTTATTGTGAAAACAAATTTCGATCGTTTCCTGTAACATTTTGTCTCATAACGGCTAACTTGACGCTATCCGGGAACAACAAACCCTCTGATTGGATGGACTGGGTGACGTTGTATGGAGAATAAATGTGATTGACTCTGAACTTTTGCCTGTTTTTTCGAGTTGCCAACATTAACACTAAAATGAAACAAAACGTGGAAAATATTCTGCATAAATGTATCTATTCATATTGCAATTTAAAATAAAATAAAAATGTTACGTACGGAAAATAACGGGACGTTTCGGAAACGCTGACGTGACGTCGCCTTCTTGATCCGGGTCACTCTCCTCACGCTGTAGCAAGCATGGCAGCGAAAAACAAGCACCGCAAGAAATCCAAAGCCACGAAAGTGACTTTTCAGCCCGAAGAAAATGAGCCGGAGGCTGAAAACAGCGGCGGAGAGGAGGATGAAGAAGCAGCCGCTGATGAAGGTGAAGGCAGAGCGAAGAAAGACGAAGAAGAGTTCAGTCTGGAGGAGGTTTTACGGCTCGGAGGAACACAGGTGAGATGAAACCTCTGCATTCAGAACTACACAGGGTTATTTTCTTATTTAACCTGGGTGTTTTGGACGGTTAACACACATCCACACACTTTACACTTTTTTAAATGTTTGGAGTGCAGTTTATTTATATTTTTGTGGCTGATAATTCGAGTATTTTTAAAGCAATTTGCATATAAACATGAAGTAAAGTCGTTTTTTAAACGAAATGTAATTGGGATTACTTAATTGAAATTCCCGTATGGACGTTTTCATCCATAATAATGACAACATAACAAGGGCTGCAACTAGGAAGTATTTTGACGGATTCATCCGCTGATCATCTTATTAACTGATTCAACAATATTAATCAGAGAAAACAGCATTTATATTTGAGAAGCTGGAAGCAGAAAGTGTTTTTGCATAATAGATGATTCTACAGTGATGAACTCTTCAGTGGACCCACTGCACGAGACAAATCCTGAAAAATAATCTGATGCAGAAACTGATTTATGGGAAAAATTATGGTTGAAGCTGCATATTATTTATTATTTGGAATGTGCGAAAACAGGGAAAAATGCCCACCTCAATTCCTTAAAGCCAAAGGTGACGTCTTCAAAAGTCTTTATTAACTTGACAGGTTAATTAATTCAGTGTTTATTATCTAAATCTTACTGAAATGTTGATGAAACTTTGACAAGGTAATGAGATTGAATCATTTGTCATAATAAGGCTGACGAACTAATTCTAATGTAATGTTCAGGTGTCTGTTCTAGAGTCTCACTCTTCCAGAGCTAATTAATCCATCTAATGATTTCCTGTGCTCTTCTTCTCTCCTCTGTGCGTAGGCCGACTACATCTTCCTCGCCGGTCTGGACGACTCCAACGAGATCGTGGATGGAGGGAAGAAAGGCGCCATAGACGATCTGGAGGAGGGCGAGCTGGAGAAGTTCATCACCAAACTGGGCATCAGGGCGTTGGCCGGACAGCAGGTCATTGCAGACGAGCCGGAGGGCGAGGCCGCTGGAGAATCTGGCGAGAAGGAAAGTAAGAAGGTCAAAGCCAAGAAAGCTTCAGCAGAGGAACGAGCAAACAACAACCAGACAGCGGAGAACAAACAGACGAACAAGAAGACTAAAGACGGTCAGGTAACCGCCGGGAAAAAGGCCAAACAGAACGCTAACGTGTTTGAGTTTCAGCAGCGGCAGGTGCTGCTCATCAAACCTGGAGGGAAGTGGTTCGACCTGGACTACGCCGCCGAGGGCTCGGCGACGCCGCAGGATCCCCAACTGGTGTCCCAGTACAAGACGCTGGCCCAGCGGCTGTTTGAGGCCGAGGTGGAGCTCTACAAGAGCAAGAAGACCCTGCAGAAAGGAGCCAACTCGTCCTGGATGAAGACGGTCGTGTCCTCCGGCGTTCTGGCAGACAGGATGGCGGCCATGACGGTTCTAATCCAGGACGCTCCGGTGCACACGCTGGAGCACGTGGAGAACCTGGTGTCCATGGTGAAGAAGAAGGGCAGCCGGCGCATGGGTCTGATGGCGCTGGACACGCTGCGAGAGCTGCTGCTGTCCAACCTGCTGCCGGAGAACAGGAAGCTCCGCCCCTTCGCCCAGCACCCGTTCGATCAGCTGGAGGAGAAGGCCAGCGGCAACCGCGACGCCCGTGACCGCCGCCTCGTCCTCTGGTACTTTGAGCACCAGCTGAAGCACCACATGGCAGAGTTCGTGGTGGCTCTGGACGAGGTGGCTCACGACACGGTGCCGGCGACCAAGGCGAAGGCGCTGGCCACCGCCCACGAGCTGCTGTGCACCCGCCCGGAGCAGGAGAGAGCGCTGCTCATCCAGGTGGTCAACAAGCTGGGAGACCCCGAGTACAAGACGGCGGCGAAGGCGTCGTACCTGCTGGAGACGCTGCTGCACAAACACCCCAACATGAAGGTGGTGGTGTGCTGCGAGGTGGAGCGGCTCATGTTCCGGCCCAACATCAGCGCGAAGGCGCAGTACTATGCCGTCTGCTTCCTCAGCCAGGTGATGCTGAGCCACAGCGAGGCCGAGCTCGCCGCCAAGCTCATCACCATCTACTTCTCCTTCTTCCGCGCCTGCGTCAAGAAGAAGGACATCGAGTCGAAGATGCTGAGCGTGCTGCTGTCGGGCGTGAACAGGGCGTATCCCTACGCCACCGCCGGGGACGAGAAGGTGAAGGAGCAGCTGGACACGCTGTTCAAAGTGGTTCACCTGGTGAAGTTCAACACGGCCGTGCAGGCGCTCATGCTGCTGTTCCAGGTGATGGACTCCCAGCAGACCATCTCCGACCGATACTACGTGGCTCTGTACAGGTAACACCAGCTCACCACAGAAATAATACAGGTCTTTGTGTTCCTGTCAAACGAGCTCAAACTGAAGGAAACTGGATTCTTCTTCTTCTTCTTCTTCTTCTTTGCAGGAAGTTGTTGGACCCCGGTCTGTCGTCGTCCTCCAGACAGAGCATGTTCCTCAACCTGCTGTACAAGTCGCTGAAGGCCGACATCGTGCTGCGGCGCGTCAAAGCCTTCGTGAAGCGTCTGCTGCAGGTCAGCGCCGAGCAGAACGCCAGCTTCGGCTGTGGAGCGCTCTTCCTGGTGTCGGAGGTCATGAAGGCCAAACCGGGCCTGAAGCTGCTGCTGCTGCAGGAGGACGGGGTAAGAAAACTGCACCAAGAAATCCATGTAGAGAAGTTATTGTGTTTTATTTTATTAATACACAGGAAACATATACTTCACAATTATTGTCATCAGTTTTTATTTTTTGTAATAATCTCCTCATACTCCCTGTTTTAAAAATCTGTACGGTTAAAGTTTGTTTCAAACGTCACTTCCTGTTCGTCAGGGTGGAGAGGAGGAGGAGTTCAAAGACCTCGCTGAAGAGAAGGAGGATGATGATGATGATGAAGAGGAGCACTTTGTGGATGCTGACAAACTGGAGGAAGGAACAAGTGCAGAGGCAGAGGGAGAGGGGCCCAAACCCACGGCATCATGGGTACATCACCAGAACCTGGAAGGTCTGTTTACATTTCAAACAACAGATACGAGCAGAAAAACTACGCAGCCATGTTCCATGTTGTTGCTGTTGTGGTTTAATACTGATTTATTTTTGCTTCCTGTTTACCTCCAGGAGGGAAGAGCCTGCAGAGCTACGACCCGCTGCACAGAAACCCGTTATTCTGCGGCGCCGACCACTCCACGTTATGGGAGCTGCAGAGGGTGAGACACAAACAACCAAACAAATCACAACAAACACAAAGGCAGCGACTCGTAGATGAAGCTTTTATTCTGGTGGGATCGGGCCGGTCTGAAGAAGACTGACACATTACAGGTTGTTTTACTGTTAAGAGGGTGAATGACATGTTTTACAAGAGACATGGCCAAAATAAAAGCATGTAGTTAGATGAGAGCTACCGCAATAAATTAATATTCCTATTATAATATTACAACAACAATAATAAATCTTTGTTTATGTTTACAGAACAAAAACAAGTTTACAAAGTGCTTTACAGACATGAGAGAAGATGAACATGGAGGGGAGAAAATAAAGGGGAGAAAATAAAATTATAACGAGAAAATATGTAGATAAAACAATAAATAGGAATAACAAGAATTTATTATTTATTTATTCATTATTTTTTATTTACAAGTTTCAGTTTAGATGAGAGCAGGAGTCTCAGGACAATATATCAGCCTGTATCACTTTATTCTGCATGTATCGTATCAGTTTGTACGGCGGCTGATAAGAAACAGTGAAGTGAACAGAACAGTATCCATTACCTTGTCCAGCAGAGGGCGCTGACAGGTTGGTTTTTACACTGTCAAATGTGTTTATGTTAATTATTACTTTTGTATCTTGTTACTGTTGGCCTGAGTATCATCAGATTTTTTTTAAACCCATAAATATCCATGTGTGTCAGTGTTAAAAATGAAATATTGAAATTCTTAAATTTTAAAATCAAAAATATTTTAAATTAAATTTCTTTTTCTTGTTTTAATATTGATTTGATTAATTTGATTTCATTAAAATACATTTATATTTGTAAGAATTAAGTTTCAAAACAAAATGTTTGCAAAAAATAAAAACCCTAAAATGATAGTGTGGACTCACAAATAGATTATTGAATTATTGTTAATGTTTCTCACTAGAATGGAAAATAGAAGCTGAAATTTTGTTCACTGGCAAATTGTTGATAAGTTTCTGAACCTTTCTGTTTCTCCTTAATGTTTGTGTGTCTGCAGCTCACTCTGCACTTCCATCCCTCAGTGTCGCTGTTTGCAAAAACAATCCTGCAGGTAAAAGTGAATACCTCTTATACTGAAAGTCAAACTGTTCTTTATTTATTACAAGAGCATCGGTAACATTTACCTTGTGTCTCAGGTGTTTGGTGTAATATTATATATATATATATATATATAAACCAAGTATTCACTGCTGCTGCCTGATGCTCTGTGCTGCTTGTTCCTTAGTGTTAATCTTTGTTTCCACAGGGAGGCTTCATCCAGTACACCGGTGACCCTCTGCAGGACTTCACCCTGATCCGCTTCCTGGATCGATTCGTCTTCAGAAACCCCAAACAGCTGAAGGGAAAACGTAAGAAATTATTATTTTATTATTTGTGATTTTATTGGCGACTGTTGGTTTTATCAGTGTTCAGCTACACAATAATTTCAACATCTGACACATCTAGAAATACAATCATTAATTAGATGAAAAATAAATCAAAGCTTGGCATAATTTAAATTTAATGTAAATTTTTCAGAAAACACAGATGCTGCAGCGTTGAGGCCAAAACAGAGGTTACCTGTCGACTCTTTACCAGGTGAGTTCAACTAGAATTCCACTTCTCTCCTCTTGTTTTTGAAGGTTTGTGTTAAAGAAATTGATCTGACTGTTGTTGTGTGAGTGATGTGATCGATTCCAACTTTCTTGTCAGTGAACTGTGAGGAGTTTCTGTCTAAAGAGGAGAGTCAGATCCCTGTCGATGAAATCTTCTTCTATCGGTGAGTCAGAAACCTTTTCTTTTCTTTAGAGAAAAGATCGATCAATTGTAGATTTTATTTCTCAAGTTAAATTAAATTAAATCTAGAAATCATCAGAACACAGCAGCCGGAAATTTATATCAACAGGTTTCTTGTTCATTTGGCAGAAAAATTGATTATGTGCTCATTACAGAATCACAAGGATGTAGAGTATTGATAATTATTGATAATTTGCTGATATTTTTATGTCTGTTTTACATTTTTATTTGCTTTGTTTAATCATTTACAGGCTGTTTCTTGAATTTGTTTTGAGCCTTTTTTATTTTTGTTACTGAAATAGATTATGATTTTATCCCAGGTTATATTAAAAACAGACACAGAATTACCAATAATCAGCACAGAATTACCACTAATTAATACAATCCTCTTCCTCATCAAAGCACCTCAAACAAAACACAGGAAGGAGCTTTTAGTGTCGGATGCTCTGTCGTGTATTTGCTCAGATTTTTGAAAATAATGTCTTGTGTCAGTTTTGTTTATTTCAGTTATTATTATTATTGTTGTTGTAATTTGTAATCTTTTATTTTTTCTCAACAGCTTCTTCAAGAAACGTCAGCAGGAGAAGAAGGTTCAGCGGCCGCGAGGAGACGGCGATAATGAGAGCGTGGAGGATGTGGACGACGACGAGTTTGAGAAAATACTCGGTAAGTTTTCTTTTTAAGAGTCGCATGTCACAGTGTAGTATGTCAGAAAACGTCATAGTATAGACATACTATATACTTTTCTTTTTGCCTTACTGTACTATGACTTTTTTTTTCTTGCCTTACTGTACTATGACTTTTTTTTTCTTGCCTTACTATACTATGACTTTTTTTGCCTTACTATACTATGACTTTTTTTGTTTTGCTTTACTATCCTATTACTTTTTTTTTTGCCTTACTATACTATGACTTTTTTTTTTTTGCCNTTTTTTTTTTCTTGCCTTACTATACTATGACTTTTTTTTTTTGCCTTACTATACTATGACTTTTTTTTTTCTTGCCTTACTATACTATGACTTTTTTTTTTTGCCTTACTATACTATGACTTTTTTTTTTCTTGCCTTACTATACTATGACTTTTTTTTTTTGCCTTACTATACTATGACTTTTTTTTTTCTTGCCTTACTATACTATGACTTTTTTTTTTTGCCTTACTATACTATGACTTTTTTTTTTCTTGCCTTACTATACTATGACTTTTTTTTTTTGCCTTACTATACTATGACTTTTTTTTTTCTTGCCTTACTATACTATGACTTTTTTTTTTTGCCTTACTATACTATGACTTTTTTTTTTCTTGCCTTACTATACTATGACTTTTTTTTTTTGCCTTACTATACTATGACTTTTTTTTTTCTTGCCTTACTATACTATGACTTTTTTTTTTTGCCTTACTATACTATGACTTTTTTTTTTCTTGCCTTACTATACTATGACTTTTTTTTTTTGCCTTACTATACTATGACTTTTTTTTTTCTTGCCTTACTATACTATGACTTTTTTTTTTTGCCTTACTATACTATGACTTTTTTTTTTCTTGCCTTACTATACTATGACTTTTTTTTTTTGCCTTACTATACTATGACTTTTTTTTTTCTTGCCTTACTATACTATGACTTTTTTTTTTTGCCTTACTATACTATGACTTTTTTTTTTCTTGCCTTACTATACTATGACTTTTTTTTTTTGCCTTACTATACTATGACTTTTTTTTTTCTTGCCTTACTATACTATGACTTTTTTTTTTTGCCTTACTATACTATGACTTTTTTTTTTCTTGCCTTACTATACTATGACTTTTTTTTTTTGCCTTACTATACTATGACTTTTTTTTTTCTTGCCTTACTATACTATGACTTTTTTTTTTTGCCTTACTATACTATGACTTTTTTTTTTCTTGCCTTACTATACTATGACTTTTTTTTTTTGCCTTACTATACTATGACTTTTTTTTTTCTTGCCTTACTATACTATGACTTTTTTTTTTTGCCTTACTATACTATGACTTTTTTTTTTCTTGCCTTACTATACTATGACTTTTTTTTTTTGCCTTACTATACTATGACTTTTTTTTTTCTTGCCTTACTATACTATGACTTTTTTTTTTTGCCTTACTATACTATGACTTTTTTTTTTCTTGCCTTACTATACTATGACTTTTTTTTTTTGCCTTACTATACTATGACTTTTTTTTTTCTTGCCTTACTATACTATGACTTTTTTTTTTTGCCTTACTATACTATGACTTTTTTTTTTCTTGCCTTACTATACTATGACTTTTTTTTTTTGCCTTACTATACTATGACTTTTTTTTTTCTTGCCTTACTATACTATGACTTTTTTTTTTTGCCTTACTATACTATGACTTTTTTTTTTCTTGCCTTACTATACTATGACTTTTTTTTTTTGCCTTACTATACTATGACTTTTTTTTTTCTTGCCTTACTATACTATGACTTTTTTTTTTTGCCTTACTATACTATGACTTTTTTTTTTCTTGCCTTACTATACTATGACTTTTTTTTTTTGCCTTACTATACTATGACTTTTTTTTTTCTTGCCTTACTATACTATGACTTTTTTTTTTTGCCTTACTATACTATGACTTTTTTTTTTCTTGCCTTACTATACTATGACTTTTTTTTTTTGCCTTACTATACTATGACTTTTTTTTTTCTTGCCTTACTATACTATGACTTTTTTTTTTTGCCTTACTATACTATGACTTTTTTTTTTCTTGCCTTACTATACTATGACTTTTTTTTTTTGCCTTACTATACTATGACTTTTTTTTTTCTTGCCTTACTATACTATGACTTTTTTTTTTTGCCTTACTATACTATGACTTTTTTTTTTCTTGCCTTACTATACTATGACTTTTTTTTTTTGCCTTACTATACTATGACTTTTTTTTTTCTTGCCTTACTATACTATGACTTTTTTTTTTTGCCTTACTATACTATGACTTTTTTTTTTCTTGCCTTACTATACTATGACTTTTTTTTTTTGCCTTACTATACTATGACTTTTTTTTTTCTTGCCTTACTATACTATGACTTTTTTTTTTTGCCTTACTATACTATGACTTTTTTTTTTCTTGCCTTACTATACTATGACTTTTTTTTTTTGCCTTACTATACTATGACTTTTTTTTTTCTTGCCTTACTATACTATGACTTTTTTTTTTTGCCTTACTATACTATGACTTTTTTTTTTCTTGCCTTACTATACTATGACTTTTTTTTTTTGCCTTACTATACTATGACTTTTTTTTTTCTTGCCTTACTATACTATGACTTTTTTTTTTTGCCTTACTATACTATGACTTTTTTTTTTCTTGCCTTACTATACTATGACTTTTTTTTTTTGCCTTACTATACTATGACTTTTTTTTTTCTTGCCTTACTATACTATGACTTTTTTTTTTTGCCTTACTATACTATGACTTTTTTTTTTCTTGCCTTACTATACTATGACTTTTTTTTTTTGCCTTACTATACTATGACTTTTTTTTTTCTTGCCTTACTATACTATGACTTTTTTTTTTTGCCTTACTATACTATGACTTTTTTTTTTCTTGCCTTACTATACTATGACTTTTTTTTTTTGCCTTACTATACTATGACTTTTTTTTTTCTTGCCTTACTATACTATGACTTTTTTTTTTTGCCTTACTATACTATGACTTTTTTTTTTCTTGCCTTACTATACTATGACTTTTTTTTTTTGCCTTACTATACTATGACTTTTTTTTTTCTTGCCTTACTATACTATGACTTTTTTTTTTTGCCTTACTATACTATGACTTTTTTTTTTCTTGCCTTACTATACTATGACTTTTTTTTTTTGCCTTACTATACTATGACTTTTTTTTTTCTTGCCTTACTATACTATGACTTTTTTTTTTTGCCTTACTATACTATGACTTTTTTTTTTCTTGCCTTACTATACTATGACTTTTTTTTTTGCCTTACTATACTATGACTTTTTTTTTTTGCCTTACTATATTATGACTTTTTTTTTTCTTTTTTGACACCTTATTATACTATGTTCTTTGACATTATTGATGCCTTACGACATTTTTTTGCATTGACGTTTTTTGACATACTATAGCAAGCATGTTAGTACGTACAAATGTATGTGTGTTATTATGTATGATGTATTGAAGTCTGCATTGATGTATGCAAGTATATATGGTAGTCTGTATGTATGTATGCTAGTATGTATGTATTGATTTATGTATGTATGTCATAAAAAATTTTTCATTTTTGTATATATGTTATACAAATGTAATAGTGTGGTAAGGCATAACAAGTCAACAGTATATAAGGTCATAGTATAGTATGGCATAAAAATGTCATAG